CATACGTTATGACGCTTATAAATATTTAAAATAAGTAGCTATTATGAATGGTGGATCAAATATAATATTAAAAAAACGTTAATCACGTTACCCATATAAGACTAGGTGACCAAATCCGTATAATAAATATTCTTGTAAATAAACATGAAACATTCTGTACCAAACTTCGAAAAAGCACTTATTGAGTAAATGCAAAAGTATATGCGTTAATGATACGTTACGCTTTTAATAGTTAATAATAGTTTTCTGTACAACGTTTTTATCTTCACCTAATTAATTATTATTTAAAAATTAAATCACTTTTGTTTAAATAAAGGTTTAAACATGTATTTTTAAAACATTTTTTTTCTATTATTATAAAAATATTTATATGGATTAAATTAATATGATGAAACGTAATAACATTTTTAAAATATTCTTTTTGGGGATCAATTAATAAAAGTTTATTTCTTAAATTGTATGTTATTCATATAATTTTTGTTATACGTTTAACTAGTAGCAATTGCCAATTAGTATTAATTTTATACGCCATAATACCGTTTTTTTATCGTATATACCACACATTATTTCACCCTATTTCATTAAATCCGTAACTCGGTTTATCTTTTTTGTATGATATATTATTTATCATAATATGGAATATTGGGATATACGTAACATACATATCCTTAATCCTTGAGATCAATTTTAACAGAATTAAAAACTATATATCATTGTACATTTTATAATTTTTTGTTTTGCATTATTAACAACAAGATCACAACACACAAAAAAACTTTCAGGCGGTTCCCCACCGTCTTGTCAAAACTTAACATACCCGACATTGAAAATAGAGTCCGGCCTGTGCYCGACTAGCCACAAGCACCACCGACTGTACCACCTCACTTATCAAGTCTGGGTGGTGCAGATCGACGCTTTACTTGCCCCAACATTGTATAAATTATTATTCGATATAGCAATAGATTAATGTGATTACCAATACTCGCAATTTGTTATTTATTTCACGACGCGGAACGTTRGAATTCAACGCTCCGTATCAATATCAGTAATAATTATTTATACTTCYCAAATAAACGTTAAGATTGTTAGTTTAGCTTTATTTTAATTTCTAAATGGACAATATAAAATAAAATACCGAGTGTCATCAACTTAAAATATTGAGAATCTCGGCTCCTGGGAATAGTATTAATGTTCTTGTCCACACCGAAAATTTCTCAAATAAAATTTAATTAAYCCATAAAAATATCAAAAGTTGTCATCGAATATTTTTTTTTCTCGGATAATGTACATAATTACCAAGAGTAATCGTTTATAAATCAATAACGAKAGATAGTGATAATTTTGGATAATTATATGTAATTTATTCTATGTCTGCATATTTAAGGTACAAGTAATCTTCGTCAAAAGTCATGTTTTCGACCTAGWAATGTGCCGTTTTTTATAATTTAAATTTGTCATATTGTTGTTTCCATGGCAGTTTTACAACAATAAACCCTTAGATTATGGACTGAAATACAATTTATTTTCTTTAAAAATAAAAGGGTTTAAAATCTTTAGTGCTATCWGAGAAGTATGAAAAAAAGTTTTATTGTAAACAAAAGTTTTGGACACTGAAACGGAAACAAGTGAATTGCCTATTTAGAACGCCGTAAGAATTGCATCACGTAACAAAGCAAAACACGACTAGGTTTCAGTTTTTTCCCTCCTTTTATGTCTTGACAAACATGACTATGTGACTTGTTTCAAACTTGAAACAAACAGAGTTTTTTTTTTTATATCCCTGTATTTGAGCGCTTGAATGAATGATTAATTTTACAACTTTAAGTTATAGTGATATATTATATTGTATAATTATGTTTTTATGCTTAATTTWAGTCTCAGATCCAGTTTTAAAGACTTCATTTTAATACAAATAATTTATATGAATAATGTTATTAATATGTATGTTATTCGAAAAATATAAAACATGATCGTCGTTCTGCATTTTGATGAGAATATTAATATTATAATATATGTACCTATCTAC